GTGTAGATATGTAGAAATGCAAGTGGATCAGTGACTTCAGGCAGTAGGTAGTGAGGACCTAGCCACAGGATTTCAGAGATAAATTCCCGATCTTACAGCTGTGAGCAAATCGTGCTAGAGACATAGCAGGCGCCAAAGAGGAAAAACAAGAAAAATCAGTGAATATAGAATATAGTGGAAAAGCCACAAGTTCTTAACAAAATCTGGCCAAAATTTGGCTGTACAATTTACTAAAGATGAGACAACGAGTGAATTGCTGAGTGCAGGTAAACTTCAGTATTCTCAGTTTAAATGGGATTATATCTACCATGTTAGCTTGTTTTATGAAGATTGGTGAAATGTTAGCTTTATAAGATTGAGCACAGTATTTGGTGCATAATAGATGAACGGTAGTATAATATCAATTTTTTAAGAAGGTGAAACAAAAATAAAGGGATGACATGGCAGTAAAGGTAATAGGGTGGTGTGTTACGGAATCTTAGGATAACACATCTACATTTCTCCAGCACGTGATTAGGTGGGTATCAAGCGGTACCAAAGACAGAGTCAGAAGCAATGCAGGTGAGAATGTGTAAAGAACTGTCACTTATCTAATGAGAATTAATTAAAAGACTAATTAATTAGCTGACAGAATAAGATTTCTTTCAAGAATTTCATATGTACATTTAATAAGCATTTAATCCTTACAACAACTCTATTATCCCCACTTCACAGATGAATAAATGAAGGTAGAGAGAATTAATTATCTTGTCCAAGGCCACACAGCCAGAAGTTACTAACTTTGGATTGTAACCCTCAGTAGCTAATTCCAGACTTTTCTAAAAGTAGGAGAAAACAACAGTGACATCTTTCTTGGTCAAAGCCATACGCTGTGCTCTTAGTTTATTTATTGAATAAGCACACCTGATTATTTACCATGGGTCAGGGAAATGTTCTTTAACAATCAAGACTGGGACCTTTCATTGATGACAACTATCTCCAGTCTTTGTGATTCTTTATAATGAGTCTGTATATATCTTTTAAGACATTTGTGGACAGAGGTGTTTATGCCTACAAAGAATCCCCAGACCATTGATTGATAGAGGAGCCTGGGCAACATTTTTTATCATTTCACATGTGGCTGTGCATCCCACCGTGAGTGTCCACGCATCTGAACTACGCACGGGCACAGGTCTTGAGATTGCTTTATACATATGCACCTCCATCTGCACATTTATTAGTTCTTACAAGTTAAGCAGGAATAGATCCTAAAATAGTAGGCTTCAAATACAAGTGTATTTTTCAAGATTATTCTGACTTACAAAAGCTTTCATTCCAAATCATCACCCTGATACACAGTCTACATTCTTCAAGCTAATTTGTACTAGTGCTCTCTGCTTGGTACTCACAACTAGTCTACTGTGGTGAACTCACTCTGCCTGCTCACCAAGGAGCATTTACACAAATAACAATTTAGTGAATGACATTTTTTAATCCAGGAAAAATTAAATTATGGTTGAAAGTTGCTATGCAAATGTAATTTTCCATTATTTTATTAAGTAATTCAATACAGGGCCACAGTACATATAATATTCTGCTTCTGTTTTTATAAAATAAATTTCCACCTCATTTGTGTGGGAAAAGCCCAAGGTTTATTTCGTTCGAAGGTAAACTTTTACTAATATATCAGGGCTGATAACTTAAAAACATCATAAGTACTCATTGCTAGTCCGAATTAAAGGGCCTACTCTTTACCTCCTCTCCTAATGAAAAAAACACCAAACAAAATTTAAAGAGGACAAAGAAGAAGAAACAAATGTTAGCTAGACATGATGAATTATGGTTATTTAAGGTGGAGGACTAGAAAAAGTACCACATTTTCTATGAAAATGAGTCAGATAGGCAGCACCTATGCTCAGTGGGTAGGGCACTAGCCCCATATATGGAAGGTGGCAGGTTCAAACCCAGCCCCAACCAAACTGCAACAAAAAAATAGCTGGGCGTTGTGGCCAGCACCTGTAGTCCCAGCTGCTGGGGAGGCTGAGGCAAGAGAATTGCCTGGACCCAGGAGTTAGAGGTTGCTGTGAGCTGTAACACCACAGTGCTCTACTGAGGGTGATAGGGTGAGACTCTGTCTCTAAAAAAAAAAAAAGAAAGAAAGAAAGAAAATGAGTCAGAATTAAAATTGATTAATTATTCAGCTTGGCGCCTGTTGTTCAGTGGCTAGGGCTCTGGCCATATACAGGAGACCTGGCAGGTTCTAATCCAGCCCCGCTTGCCAAACAACAATGACAACTACAACCAAAAAATAGCCAGGCATTGTGGCAGGTGCCTGTAGTCCCAGCTACTTGGGAGGCTGAGGCAAGATAATCACTTAAGCCCAGGAGTTGGAGGTTGCTGTGAGCTATGATGCCATAGCACTCTACTCAGAGGGACAGCTTGAGACTCTGTCTCAAAAAGAAAAAAAAAAGATTAATTCTTTGACACTATAAAAATGAATTGGTATATTTATACTGAATTGTTTTGGAAACACGTGTTCCCTAGGATTACATGTTCCTTGGTATTTTGTAGACGAGTATATATATCATCTAGATGTAGACCTACGAAGCTTCCCAGTGACTTCTACGCTTCTAACATCTTTTAGAATATTACCATATGGTCCCTCAAAAGAAAGAAAGAAATAGAGACAATATGATGTGATCTAGAGTCTCCCATCACCAAAATATTTATTTCCCCTCCGCTTCACTACCATGAACCTTTACAGACTTGGGTATTTGCTGGAGTGTTTATAACCATCAGAGACTACGATTGCCTTTGAGATATTGTGTCTTTTCTTCCAGGAATACAAAATGCCTGCATAAAAATTTAAAATCCTCACTATCCATTGTATGTAACCATAACTGACATGGAACATGGCATACAAGAAATGGCATTTATATACACATAACAGGTATGAAACTCTTATCTACACAAAAGAATAGTTATAAATAAAATGTTTATTTTTCTGAATAAAGAGCAGGCATTATTTTACCTCAATTACAGATAGAAAACTGAGCAATATAATGAAAATTTTGTTCATACGCAGAGAGAAAAATTGAGTAACAAAATAAGCTACCTCTAAAATTCCATTCCCTTCAAGTGGGAGCAGTGGGGAATGGGGTTATAAGTTCTCCTCCAATGAGTACAATACTTTCTGGGGGAAAGACACACTACAACCGAACTTATCACTACAAATGCAAACAATGTACCCTAGTAATATGCAGCCTGTTATTAATCTGAAATTTATAAAACAAAAAAATCTACGTTTGATGCCCAGTTTGGTAATAAACAGCTGAAACTCCGTTTTCTTTCTTGTGAAATATTTGCTTTCCCCAGATATATTTGGTCTACTCAAGAAATATATTCAGGTTACAATCTCTCACCCAGCCTTTGAGAACTGAGTCTTACTCTTCTTATAAGCATCACTTTTCTGGAGGTGACCCAGGTAGTCATAAAACTTTAAAGAAACTTACAGGAAGCAAAGACTTTAGCCAAATTCACTGTTTTAATTATGGAAGATTCTCTAGTTTAATAAACCCACTCTACAGCCCAGGTCTCAAACTCTTTGACATCAGGTTTCTTATAGAGCCAGGTCCAAAATGCAAATGGTGTCACCTGCATCAACACATGCACTCTAGCAGCAGTTAAATTAATAGTACAGTCTGCAAGATAAACAGCAGAGACCCCAATCACGTGCAACCAACTGAGTTCCTGTGTAACCTCTAGCAGATAGAAACACGTAGCCAGTTCAGTCATGGTTTGCTTAGCAAATCTGTAGTCAAGAGCAGTGTCCAATTTCCCTGACCAAGGGAATTAGGAACCAAAAAAGAAAAGAGAACAATAAGAATGCATTAGTTCCCTAAGTACAATATAAATAGGTTTCAACTGAATGAGCTTCAATGTTCGGATTGTATAGGATTGACTGACCAATCTGGAATGAACTTGGCCATTAAGATTAAAGACATAGTATCTGCAGAATGATTTGAGCTCTTCACAAAAAGGAAGTGGATGAAGTACATTTAAAACAACAACAATGTGACATTGTATTATAGATTCATATGCTAGTGTAATTCAAGGTTAATGAGCACTGTTATTGGAAATGTTGCTATCTGCAACTGCAATATTTATTACCAATTGTTTCACACTAGTTGGTTTTTGACCAACACAGTAAGTACTGGACAACATTCAATTTTTACCCCAGAAAACGTCTTTGATTTTATGTCTGTATCACGCAAATATGGGGATTATAAGATTATAATTTTTGCTCTGGCTCATTCAAAGTCATGTGTGACTGACCCTTGGGAAAACTTGGGCATGCTTAGAAATACATTCTTTTGAATGTCTTTGCTTCCTGTAAGTTTCTTTAAAGTTTTATGACTACTTGGGTCACCTCCAGAAAAGTGATGCTTGCAAGATGAGTAAGACAATACCGGCCTTTATTAATATGCTTTTGTTCTAATACTGCAGTTACTGGAGTCGGTTCAGTTGAAAAGGATATAAATCATATTGTCCCTGTCCCTCTACCCCCTGGCCCGGGTAAGAAAGCCATTAGGACATAGCATTCTGCAGTAAGGTCATAGCATGACACTGCAGTTCTACAATGATTATAAGGGTATTGCATGACATGATAAATTTCAGGTTGAAACATTGAACTCTGACTTATCACAGTACCTTATTAAAAGAATAAAAAATATTTGCTTAGTAAGTAAAAATATATATTTGTGGTACTACCTGAGTAAGCACAAGCCTGTGGTAAATAATTTAAAGGTTGTCACCCTTTGTGAAGTTACCTTGGTTCTAATCTTTGAATATTTTTTATACATTCATACATCAAACATTCCCAGTGAACTGGGAAATAAAGATACCTTTTTAAAGCAACATCAAAAACGGTGAAACAGAAAAACTAACTATGAAAAATTTTCTTTCTCCCACGTGAATATGCAAAAATACATATGCCAAAAAACATAAAATTAAACACTTACCTTTAGTTTGGATTCTCTTTTCAGGTTTCTCCTGCTTTTCAGCTTTTTCTTTGCGTATTTCTAAGGAAAAATAGAATTGATAACTTAAAACCGCTTTGTAAAAGTTTAAAATTTAAACCATAGTCATGGCATGAAGTTTATAATTCTATCACAAAGCACAAAACAGTATATGGTCTCTAACAAGCTCATTGGTGTCTAAAAGGAGAGTCTCGATGATGTATTGCTATGCAAATCATTTATTTATTAAAATAAGGGAAAAAGTAGTTATCTCGAAATTACATTGGAACAAGCTAAAAATGTAATCGGCAGAGATATGTTGTCACCATTTTCGGTGCTAAAATTGATCACAAACTATAATTATGTTTTATTTCAATTACTCTCGATACAAATTAAGAATCCTTAATAAGAATGTCATTTAGATTTAGGAAGGTTTAGTTTTTACATGTTAAATTAAGAATTTGTGAAATGAACTGTAACAACTATCTAATAGGAAATATTTCTCAGAAGCATTGACTCCGAGCTGTGTTTATAATCAGCATTTGGCGTTACATTTAACCAATGATTACTGTTAGCAGACAAGACACATTTTACAGAATAAGTGAGTTGTATTTTTTTCTAAATATCAGTATTTAGCAAATATATTCAACGTGCAGCCAGTTTCACTATATATACACTGCCAAGGTTGAGGAAATGAAGTTAATTCTGAATTTGCAGTTAATTTGGATAGAAGTATATCTGAGATTAGAGTTTATGATTACTACCTTTGAGAAAATGACTTAATTTGAAGTATCAGGATTTTTCTTAGAAAAATGTTAATGAAGTTGATTTATTTATTTATCACAGCTTTATTCCACAGGTGGTCTGAGATAGTCCTCATTACTGTACATATTTTAAATTCTCCATTTACAAATTTACATTTGCATTTTTATAGTTTATCCAGAAGTCTACCAAATGAAGACCCACCATAGAAACACACTAAATATCATCCAAAAAGACAGCAACTGACTTCCATTCACCTGTGAAGGAGGCACACACCACTGGGAAGATTTCTCTCCTTCATTTTCCCCATTAATCCGTCATATTACTACTTATAGGATCACTCCCTTATCCTCATCGCTTCTCTGACTTTGAATATAGTTATAAAGATACTAAGGAGGCAAGGTACATATCACTGAAAAAAATTTCCAGAATGTAAGGCAAGATCCCCAAAGAGCATGGGAAATTTCCATCTTCCTGCTTTTCTCAGTGTATTGATTATTTCTTCTCTGATGTCTGCAAATTTTACTCTACAACAGGGGTTCTCATCTTACCACATTATTGACTTTGTATCAAATGTCACAATATTGGGGGGCATCGGGATGGTCTGCACATTTGAAGATATTTAGCACCATCCCTGGATTCTATCTGTTACATGCCAGTAGCTCCCACAGCTACCTTCCAATCATGACAATGAAAAACGTCTTTGAACGCTGTTACATCCTCCCCAAAGAGCAAAATGAATCCCAGTTGAGAACCACTACCCAAAGTTACCTAGTATTTCAGCCTAATCGCTGTTTGTCACTGTCTAGGGCTACAGGGAGCCACTAGATAGGTGGGCTCTGAAGCACATATGTGGTCGGTCTGAATTGAGATGTGCTATGAACGTCAAGTCCACACCAGATTCTGAAGCCTCAGTATATGAAAAGGACTAAAATATCTCAATAATGTTGAAAAGCTATTATTTTCAGCATACAGAGTGTGATCGTTATGTTGATGAGTCAGCTTGGCCAGGCTACTATCTAAAGTTATTCAAACAGCCAGGCGCAGTGGCTCACACGAATCCTAGGACTCTGGGAGGCTGAGGTGGGCGGACTGCCTGAGCTCATGAATTGGAGATGAGTCTCAGCAAGAGTAAGAGCCCAGCTCAGAAAAATAGCCAGGTGTTGTGGCAGGCACCTATAGTCCCAGCTATTTGGGGGACCAAGACAAGAAAATCATTTGAGCCCAAGTTTGAGGTTGCTGTGAGCTGTGATGCTATAGCACTCTACTGTGGGCAACAAAGTGATACTCTGTCCCAAAAATAAATCAATAAAATATGTTTATTTTATATTCAAATAAACACTAATCTTGGTGTTCCTTGAAGATACTTTGTAAATGTAATTGCAATCCCTAAACAACTCACTTCAAGTAAGAAGATGATTCTGGATCAGCTGTGTGGGCTTCTGTGGTTTCACTGAAAGCCTTAAAAACAGGACTGAGATTTCCTAGGGCAAGGGAAGAAATTGTGCCTGTGCACACAGCTTTAGGTTCAAGTTTGCCTGTGATCTTCCCCAGCTGACTACCTGTCTTATGGATTCAAACTTACTTAGCCAGTCTCCACAATAACATAAGCCAATTCCTTATAATAAATGTCTTTATATGTGTGTGTGTGTGTGTGTGTGTATTACTGATTCTGCTTCTCTATTTGAGTCCTAATAGATATATTGGGTTAAGAAAGACAGACTATTAAAATTAATTTTACATTTATACTTTTTTTTAATGTGACTAAAAGAAAAAATTTTAATTACATAGGTGGCTGACATTAGTCTACTCCTAGGAGTAACAAATGAACTTTGTAAAGCCTTAGGTCATCCACAAGGTTAAATCTTGTTCCAATGAACTGAAAAACAAACTTGATCTTCACCCCTGCCAGGACTCTCTGCTTCCCCCTCCTCTTGAAAGCAACAGAAGCTGTAGAGACGATTCATGCTTTTTACAACTTAAGTCCAAAGCAAGTACCATGTTAAAGATTTGAAATGGCTTTAGTATAGGCGAAGGGAATTACCTTTAAGAGATGATTTCTTACTCCCAGTAGGTATTAATATGAATAGAGAAATGGGAGGAAAACTTTTAAATTAAGAAATTATTAACATACAAAATGCTTTAATTCATCGTTTAAGGGAAAGCCTTAAAATTTTCATTAATTTTTTTCTTTAAAGGTAGATATGTGTCTATGTATGTGTGTGGAGGGGGTGTATTCCACACACACTTGCTGGCCATTCAAAAAACTGGAGAAGGGATTCTGGAGCACACAAAGTAAGATCGGATGCGAGTTAGACTAGACTCTTATGGAGGATCTGATGCTGATGCTCATCCTACTAGAATAACCCTATCAGAGCCTCACCTAACTTAGATCTTAGTGAATCTATTTGGACAGGGTGGCAACTGGTGGGACTGGACGGCCCTCATTGGTTGGTAGTGGGGTTTCCTGTGATGCAGGTGGAAGTTTGAACGTCAGACAGCAGATGAAAGAGAAATACTCAGTCTCCTTTAAGTTCTCATAGGCAGCCACATCCCCATCAGAGGGAAGAATGAGGGCCAAATCCCAGCCAGAATTGAAATGATCAGGGGTCTGTGCTGTAGAAAAACAAAATAAACACAAATCTCAAAAAGCCTGGGATCAAGAACACCACTCAGGAAAAGGGAAAGGCAGGGGCCAATGCGTGCTCTCTTCCCTTTCCCAAATGCACACAAGGGAGGTAACTCCAAAGTGGAAGGTAAATACTTGCATTTATACTTAAGCAAAAATAAATAAAACTAAGCAGAATACGATTGACCAAAATGGTGATATATTTCAGAGATGTATTGTTTTTGGTTAAGTGAAGGATTCCCAATTCTTCATTCCTGATTCTGCATTTCAGCTTTATACAAGCTAAGACAACATCCCTGTTCCAGGCAGATATACTCAGATTTCTCACCCAGCAGATGCATTCAGTGGCGAGGTGGGGTGGGGGTCATATACTTAAACCAAAAAAGATAATACACAATAAAATCTTGTGTATCATCTTACATCAATGAAGTAAGATGATTCACCTGGGCAGTTTCTCTGGAATATCATCAACTAATTTTTTTAGCTGCAAGACTTAAGTTTGTTAGTATTTCTACAGATGCAAAAGTAGGCAAACAGAGCTGAAATAGTAAAGTCATGCACACACCTACATTCCTTACAGAAGTACAAAAAATTATTTCTGATTATTCAAACTTAAGGACAGATCGAATGTCTCTCTGGATGTTTTAGTGCAACATTGCACTTTCTTTGGGATTGGAATCCATCAGTGGTGCCTCTGACTGTGGATATCATATGTCAGAAGAATCCAACAAAGCCTCTGTGCAGTGTGCCACCTCTGTCTCCTTACCCTGTAGCCAAGAAACGTTGACCACCCAGGCTCCTGTCCCATTGAGTAACATGTTACTTTGGACATGTTATGAATACAGAAATGGGATGAAAATATGAAATATAAATACATAATATGAATACAGAAATGGAATCAAAATTTTTAAATTAAGAAATTATTAATATATGAAATGCTTTAATTCATTATCATATAGGAAAGCCTTAAAATTTTTATTAATTTTTTTCTTTAAAGGTAGATATGTGTGAATGTGTGTGTAGCATGTTAGGGTTAGGGTTAGGTAACATGTTACCAATTGAGTAACATGTTACCAATTTAGACTTCAGAAAGATATTTTTCTCATAAGCAGAGGATGCCCAATTTGTTATAATCAATTGCTCCTTCCAGCCAAGAACCATTTATATAAAATTAGAAAATTAAATTTAAAAGATTCAAATTGTGAATGGTTGCCTTATGGTTATCAACAAACTTCAAGAAAAATGACATTTGCTGTATTATGTTAATACTAGTTTCTAGCTATGTAATAACCTCCATCAGCAGGTGAATGCTTGCACTTTGGTGAACATGACAATCATGCGTAATAGCATAAAATTATACTTAACTTCATGACACTCTTTAAGAAACAATTCACTTACACATGAACCAAACCTGGATACACAGCATTATGAAGGTCAAGGCAGTCATTATTTACTTCCAAATATATGCCCTTTGCAATTTGGTGGAAGTTAAAAGTGTTAAGTCTCAGCACCAGATGCTCCTTGAAATCATAAGCCACTTTTGTTACCAGTAAATCTTAAAAACTGTTGGGTGTCTTAGAAGGTACAGAGGTCTGAGGCTGTCCATAGGTCCTTAAATGCATTAGCTTCCACTTGAATTTTGAGAATTAAACAAAGGGAAAAGAATATGAAA